GAACTGCTTGTGAATCGGCTCCTTTCTGGTAGGGGCAAGCCATGTGTGAAACGGCAGCCCTGTACCGGTTCATCTGGAAACGGAAACTGGTAATGTGAAATTCCCCTATGTTTCTCATTTACCTTTAATTATATTTTAGTTATCGAAGGAGTATGGTCCTGTTTTCAGCATCCAAATGGGATTCCAGAAAATGGTCGTTCTGTCGGGCTACAAGACTGTAAAGGAGGCTTTGGCGAACCAGGCAGATGCCTTTGCGGACAGGCCCATAGTTCCAGTGTTTGAAGACTTTCAACATGGCCATGGTGAGGTCCTTCTTTCTGAAGAGTAGCTGGTCTTGCTTACATATGTAGAACTTACAGCCAGGGAGAGTCTGTGCCAAACAGTATCCTGGGAGAGATACAGATTGTAGTTTTCCTATCTATAGAACTGGGCTAGCTTAAATTGTTTTGATACAAGAACTTATGCCCCCCCCCAACCCCGAGGGCAAAGAAGAGCCCCAAGAAAGGGAGGTCATGGAAGCAGCACGGGGGAAAGGGTTGAAAAACAGAGGCACAAACAGTGGCCGTGCATGCATACCTTCATCATATGACGACTTCCCTCGTGCATTTTCTCCATATGATGAAACATTCAGAATTTTCTAAATCTTCAGCAGAGTGTTGCGGAATTAGGGCCTGGATTGCGGCTCAGTTCTGTTAAACCTATGTGGCTTTAATTTCTGTAGTAATTAGCCTCTATAGTTGAATCTTTGGTTGTGTTTCCCAGGAGGCTTCAGGACTCTGCTAAGTGCTGCCGCCTTTGGGTACAGATAGCCCTCTACATGATTTTTGCCTCACGTGACTTTTGCCTTTGGGGAATGTTTATACATTGCAGAGGTCAGGAGTCACTATCAAAGTCTGAATAGATTTATTTTATTTATTTATTTTATTTATTCTGGGATTTATATCCCGCCCTACCCATGTGGCCCAGGGCGGCTACAGACGGCAAACGCCGAGGATAAAACACACATAACGTTAAAACATTAATAAATAAGAACTAAAATTGGTGCTCTACAGTACATTCTAACAGGGA